CATACAGTACATACAGTATGGTTTGGGAAAATGTGTCCTTAGGTCACCATCTTCCTATCACAGGCTCAGCAGCACTTCTCTTGTTACCCTGTGCTTTTCTTTTTCAACCTTAAAAGCTAGGGAGACTATGATCTTCATGTGAACAATTAATATTTCACTTGGATATCCCTAGCAACTGCCTTAGAGCTTGGTACATGGTAACTTCTCAAAAAATGTTTGTTGAATTGAGCTCTTCTCGGATTTTGAAGCTGACAAGGTTAATTCACTGACTTGCCAGAAGAGGGTGGGAAGGGGTGCAGTGCAGCCTTAGCAAGGGTGAATCTACAGGAGCTACTGGATAAATGCATAATAATGTGGCCTCAGGAACACAGATGCTGGTGTAGGTCTTCCTGTTCAGTGGACCATTCTTTCAGCGTAAGCTCAGGTCTGTGTTACTGTAGGAGCTGGAACGCAAATGTCTTCAAGTACTTTTGATAAGCTTTGTCTGTTATGAAGGAAAGGGGATCAATTTGCCTTTAGAAGAAAACCAAGCTAATGTGAATCAGTACTAAGTATTGAAATATCATTTCCAGTTTACAACTTTTAATATGGTACATTAAAACATCCTTCTAGTCTTGGATGGAATTTATGTTCTAAACCTGTGATCTTGTGTTTTTCTTTTGATTTCACCTTTGGAGAACTCTTGACTGATGAAGCACCCACCGCTGTCTACTGTACAATGTCATGATCTCTGTTGCAGTCTCTCGCCATGTTGCCGACAGAGAATTCCAGAATTGTGATAGGAATGGTGAACTTATTTTGTAATTTGTTTTAATCATGAGGCACATTCATAACATTTCAAGTTGCTTTCAGTTTTAAACAATGACCATCTCTTTCTCCAAAAATCTTATTTGTCTGTGCTGTAAACACGAGTCATTTAAAAATTATTTTAAGCAATTCTTTTTTGTCATTTTGAGACAGGGTCTCCTTGTGGCCCCAGCTAGCCTGCTGGTGTGGAACTCACTATATAGACTAGACTGCGTTTGATCTAAAGAAGTACACCACCTCGCCTGGCCTATGTTTTCTTCTTATTAATACTAATTGGCAATGCTTGGTTAAATCCAATTTTGGGAACTGGAACATAAAACTATTACTATACATTTTCATGACTTGCTTGATCATTGAAAAGATTTCTGTTCCTGGCTTGCAGACTTGAAAATTAAGGCATTACATGCCACAATAACTCACAAAGGTCATTTAAGACAGTAGTAACCTGGAAATACTATTGCTATTTTGTGATCCATTCTTCCTCTTTCTAGATAGTTCTGGCTCTGATGCTTATCTTTAAGTTTTTTTCCACTTAAGTGAATTTAGCAGGCTTTTACATTTAACATATTCTGTTGATAGACTTCCCTTTGGAGATGTTTATCTAGGCATTTGTTTTTATTTCTAGCTATTTTTATATTTGTTTCATTTATTTTTAATTCTTTTATTAAATTATTTCTTTTCATACATATACATAAAATTTACACATACACTGATTTTGCTTTGCTCCAGTCTCTCACCTTTTAGTCCCCAGACCCACCACCAGAACTTGGAAGTATTTTTCTGCTGGTTCTTTCCTTCCAATTGGCAACCATTTTATTTCACTGTTTTGAAGTGATGCAGTAAAAGAAAAATGGCTGCCTTTTGTTTATTTCCTTGCACATTAGCATGATGACATCATCAACGACAGGAACTACACTGTAGCTATCTTTAAGAAACCAGAGATGAACTAAATGTCAGGAATGCTTTCTTTGCATTTTTCTTTTAGTATCCCAACCTTTAGTGTAGCTCCTGTGTGCAGAGGGGGAAATGAAGATGAGCATTTTGGAATACACTGCATGAAAATGGTGGTATTTAAAATATATCTCAAAATTTCTTTCATATTAAGAAAGACCTACTACTTAAGTCACAAAACATTCTAGATCAATATTAACCCTTCAAATACTACAAAGAAAGATGTTAAACCATTTTTAATATTAAATTATTTAATCACATTGGTTTATTCGTCATTAAATTTTTTTAACTTCAGTTGATACAAATGTTTGCATTGTAATCTTTTTCTTTCAGAAAATGAGATTTTATTGATTGAAGGGTTATGGAGGTGTGTGTATTTATAAACATGGATATAAGTATGTGTGCATTCATTCTTTTTAGGATTAAGTGCTGAATTTTTACAAGGGCCATTACAATGCATTAGTGCCCTAATGCTACAGGAAATTTATTTTTCATGATGTTCCTGACTTTTCCTTCTGTGCTCTTTGTTGAACTTTTCATGTATTTGTCACAAGATACCAAAATTTATGCATAAAAATCTTTCAAATACCAGTTAAATTTAGGCAGATTACCAAAGATATATGGAATATTTTTATCAAATTCCAATAACCAAGTCATAATTATCTGAAAATCCATATTTAAGTTTCATGTTTTGAGAAATTATTTTTGGAAAGAAAACATGACTGTGTCCACATATACACAGAACGTGTATATTAACGTAGTATCTATGCAGCAAAAGATTCTTGTAAGTGTTGAGCAATCATCTCTGAAAGAACTTGTTAGTGAAATCAGATAAGGTAAACCATATGCTTTATTGAGGTAAGCTGTCTGAAGTAAGTTACTGCAGTTTAAAGAATTAATATGGACCATATGTTCTTTCACTCTTTAACTTGGAATCTTCATTGTTCATTTCAGTCAGCTGTTCTAGGAATGTGTCATCTTTTGAGAAGATAAATTAATCACCTACCTCATTTATGTACATCAGTAAGAGAGTCTCACCCTCTTATCTTCCTTCTAAGAACAAATTAGTGTCTCTATTCTGCTTTACATACAGTATCGTTTAGTGATGGAGGTTTTACTTGAGGAAAATTTGAGGGGAGCAGCATCTGTCCTTTTAGTGAGGGAGAAAAGAAAATACCAGCAATTAAAAGGTTAAAACATACTGTCAGTTCCTTCATCAGAACGAGGGCCTTTAATAGCATTTATACAACAGTACTTTCAGAAACACAAGGTAGGAAATAGCTTTTTTAAGTTCCCCTTCCATATTCTTATTCAGTCTGCTATTAATAAAATTTAGCTAACTTTTTTTTTTTTTGAATGGTTGCTGAAATATTTTCTGTAATAATGAAAAATCTCGTGCAGGGATTTCCCTAAGCTGTGCCACATTATTGTGTTAGAACAGCTCCCTAACCTGTTATTTCTTCCTTCTCATAGACCTTAGCTGATAAAAATATCCATAGACACAGTGAAGTCAGTGACACGCCTGGCTTTCGCAGACAAAACTCCATGTGATCACATATAGGCAGCCTCAGTGAAGCTGATGCCGTGCAGCAAGCAGTAGGTAATGAGTCTTTGTGCGAGCAAAGCTCTTGTCGCGGAACAATAAAGCATATGGTACCCGCAATAAAACACAGGGCAAGGAAATGTATGAAGATTCCGCTGAACCAGGAAGAACGATGCCTTCCGTGATGCTGACACATATTATAAAATGATAATTTATTTTGGATTCTAATGAATAAAGAGTGCATGGACTAAGGCTACAGCTATTTGAACAGGTTGGTGATTTTATAAATTCCTCCAACACTTCCTTGTATTTCACTGCATTTAAATTAGAACAGGCTGATGTGTGTTTTGCCTTAAACATAAACTTTGCAAGGTATTTGTAGTGTGTAGTATGAATGATGCACTTGAATTGACCCAGTATGATTAAATTTTTGACGTAGTCAAATAGACACCAACAGAAATGTTGGTATTGAAAAGTTTTTTATTCTATTTAAAAATTTATAGGTAAGGAAAAATTCATTCAATAATTTCTAATCTTTTATGTATGCAGAAATAATAAAGCAGACTATAATAAATAGGTGATATAAAAAGCTTTGTTTTTTATAGTATTAGAAAATTCTGTGTTGCATTAGTTTGAATTTCTTATAAATTAGAAGATGAATCATTCAGAATTTGCTAGTGTTTTTCATTATACTGTGTGGAAAGGTATGTAAAATATTTAATTATTTAAACAGAAAATTTAGATAGGAGGAATTCAAAATAATGCTATGAAAAGATGTTTTATACATTAATAATACATCTATGTTAATTTTTTACTTTTTGTTTTCCATATTGTTTCTTTTTAAAAATGGAAAACTGTGCCATAAAATTTTTATATGATAGATGTGATTCATAAACATAGGAAGAAAAATCAATTTACAAACATGATTGGGTTAATTATTTGATGATCCCTATTTCCATCGGGTCACTGTTTCAAAGAGAATATGTCTTCGTGGATATTTATAAAATATGTGCACACACATAACCTTTATATAGAAAATAACTCGTTTTTATGCTTATGAGTAGTAGAGAAGTTTGTATTTCAAGTAGAAACATTGCCGTGTGTAAGAAATCAAGGCCAGCAGTAACTCTGCCAAATAATAGCTCAATACTCAGCATCTTTGCAGAGACAGACTCGCATTGCTGCGAGGTGGCTCTTCAGATCTAAGTACACAGTTTGACTTTGCTCTACATTTTTATTGCTGTATTGCTTTAAAGGCATCCTGGGACCTAACTTCTTTACAATTAATTTTTGGGCACCATTTAGGATGATGATCTCTAAGGGACTTGGGCACTTTTAACATTTTTCAGAATTACTAAAGTGACTTCATCTATTTGTACAGTGCCTAATATAAATTGATGCCTGTAAGATGCTGTTTACATCACCACAACAAAAATACCCCAAATGTCTGATTATGCATGTAATACATATTTAAGTTTATAAAAAGAGAAAGCTATGTCTCCAAAACAAGAGAAGTTAATGACAATTTAAATGAAGTATTTGACTATTTGGGTTTCCTTGGTTACCAGAGTCGCAGCAGACAGCTTCTTATAGTGAGGAGATGGTAAACAAGGACAATAAGTCTCTGAAATAAACGCTAAAAGCTAAAATCGTTTAGAGGTTAATGGACATGGGGAATGTGATGTTGACACTCCATACCGCAGGCCCCTGTGCTCCCTGGGATGCAGGTACCCGGGCAGATCTGCAGCTCCACAGCTCCTTACCCAGCATTCCTTCTCCTCTGCTGGAGGACTGCCTGAGCCTTATGCAAATGAGACCAGCGCTCAGGCTTTGACTGCAGAAGAGGAGGGGGGCAGAAGGGAGTTCAAAGGTCACGGGGCTGGCAGAAAGCAGGATCCCTTGCTTGAAAAAAAATGTATCCTGGGCTTCTGCAGCCGTGTTTTGCAGCAGTTAAGGGAAGTGCGCTTTATTTCTGATAGTGAAGATTTTACAGCGTGAGCCGTAGTCATTTAAAGTGCATGCAGGTACGATGACATTTCGTGATGCTTTCGTGATGCGCCTGATTTTATTCCTGTTAATGATACTGATGGGAATCGGCTATTCAAATTCACTGTGGCAATTGGCGGGGTGTTGCTGGTTTTCAGGCAAGCCTTTGCTAGGTTCTTCTTTTTTTCCCCCCAAATGTTTTCTCTATTTGAAACTTGGGTTTTTTTGTTCTGCTAGACCACTTCATGTGAGAACCAGCTGGATTTGGGCTTTTAAATAATTCTGTCTTTGGAGTAGGTGTTGATTGTGCAGAGCTATCTGAGTTAAAATATCTAGATAAATATTAAAAACCAAAACTTTTAATTAATTTTTACAGTTTTCAAAAATAAATCTATTTCAAATAAGAACAGAGTTCCTAGCCTAGGATTTCCTGAAGTATCTGGAATTAATTAATGGAGTTCTTTTGTTCATATCCACAAAGTATCAAAAAGACAATTTTCATAAGTTATATTTTCATTTTAAGACAAGGTTATTTTGGGAGATTCCATTCTCTATTGCTTTGTAAAAATATTACAAGAGAAGAAATCTCTTATTTCTGGGTTAGAGTCCTTAAATTCCTTTGATTTTTCTAATTGTTCTTAAATTTCTCAGGCTTTTCAGACAATGTTATTTAAATTTAATATATTCAACTTCTTATGACTTTTCCTTTCAGTTCAATCAGGATCCTGAAGTGAACCTCATAAACGTCACAGCAGGAAAAAAGTCCCCCCCCCCCTTGGGCACTAAACATCACACTTTTGTAGAATGTGTGATTACATCATAGTAAAGTCTGTCCTGCACCAAACAAATATGTACTTACACTTATTGTTCGTATTGTATTTTTAATTTACACAACATATTTTAAGTAAACTTAAAACTGCACAATCCAACTATGTTTATCCATATCATTAAAAAAATTTAAATATATCAACTTAGCAGTTACAATGTTGATGAGAAAATATGTTATTTTCATTTGCGTCGACTATGCATCTGTCTACATTACAGGTTGTATATATACTGAAAAAGACGAAGATGCAAAATAACATTTAGTCATGAACTTACTACTTTATGCTTCTGTATTTGCATAAGATACTTTTAAATGAATTTTATAAAGCTTGCATGCAAAGAACTAGTACATATTTAGAAGGATTTAATTACTTTTTTGCACTGAAAACATAGTTAATTTTTTATAATGATTTAAATGTGCTAGTTTGGCAGCAATACTCTTTCTATTAATTGGAGGGGGAGCTTGGAGCAGGGGCACACTGAAACAGGAGTGTATGTATGGTCATTTAGAGAGCAAAAGACAGTTATTTCAAATATTTATGAAATCCACTTTGTTGTGATTATTCATTGCCAGATTCTTACCCTTTATCACTCTGTGGGGGTATTATGACACTTAGTTTAATTTATGGAATGGAATTCATGTTTTGTGTTTTTTTGTTGGTGGTGGTTTTTGTTTCGTTTTGTGTTTTTAAAAGTGCAAAACCTGCCGTTTTCTTCTAAATACCTTTTCTTTTGAAACTTTTAGTGGTGTCAGCTAAAGGAAATTTATTTTAAATAAATAATTTCCTTCTTAAGTTGATCTGAATCTGCTGACCTCTGATTCCAAGAACATTTTCAGATTTGTATTTTTGAAAGTTATTATACATTGCATATATATATATATATACACAAGTATGTGTATTAGATGCATGATAGTACATATTATGTCTATTACATACATCATTGCATGTATATTATATATTCAAGAAGCGAAATAAAATATTTCATGCTGTTCAGTCATACTTAATTCATAATTTTTAATAAGCATTCTTTAACTTTATCCAGATAGTGTCAGTAGTTTGGTCTTCTAACCTCTCTGTGTATTCTAAGCAGAGAAAAAAAGAAAGAACTAAAGTTGATATTAACGTGGGCAGTTCAATACTCTTAACCCTGCAAGCGCGGCAGGTATCAGGATCATATTTTGAGTATAAAAATAAAAATACAGTGTGGGCTAAGAAGTAGAGCCCATGAAGAAGAGTCTTGGAGAAAATGTGATAATAGATATATGTGGAATAAAGAGAATTGTTGTTTTTCTGTGAGCCACAAGAGAGCTATATATGTCCTGCAGCTAATTTATGGCTTTGAATATCCTGGTAATTTATGTCTCTATGCAAATTCTCTCAGAACTTTGAAATCTTTTTGCATGGCTTGATCTATCCTACTTCCATATAAATCACAGCAGATTGTATAGTAAGCTCATAGTCTAGGTTTCTAAACATATATAGAAAAATGTATTTATGTAAATACAATTCAAATTACATTTGAGAAGTAAAAGAGTAAATAGAATAATCTAGAAACAAACCCTTGGGGATACACAGTATATGTAAAGAAATAGTGTCATATCAGACTTCAAAGGAATCTTTAAGGATTTTTCAAAACTGAATTTCCTGCTTTCTGATTCCTAGTCTGTCTTTGTCATCATTTGAAACTAGAGACCATATTGTAGGCTTGGAAAAGATTTTAGGGCAAACATGTTGTACTCAGTCTAAGAGTGTGGAATGCAGACTCAAATCTACAAATAACTGCTGTCCTTTCAAAATCACACAAGTAGGTTTTCAGTTTTATCATCACTGTATTTGTACATCTCCTGAACTTCAGAAGCCTATAAAACAGAAAGAACTTAGTGACTTTTAACATCAGTAAGGAAAAATTCAAAATCATTACTGAGTATTCAAAACAATCACATTATTTTAACATGGCATTTCTTAAGAAACAATCAAAATAAGAGATTGCCTTTTGATTGCCTATTCTAGAACTTAAATAAAATAGAATCATTGATGTTGAAAACTGAAGTGCAATACAGTTATGAAATGACGTTAAGATCTCACTGAGCCTATAGCAGCACTACAGTGATGGCTTGTGCAGTTAGAAAATGAGTGCAGCATAAAGACTGTTTTCCTTTAGCTGAAGTTTATAACTCTCAGGGTCAGTTTTCAAAAATACTAATAGCTTTCATGAGACAAACACAACACGCTCCATTCTCCTTGTTGAGAAAACTGGAACTCAGTATAAGCCTTGCTTCTGGCATCAAAACCATGATTCCATCTTCTCATTTGCCTTTTGTGAGTTACAAAACTGCTACCTAACTGTCCTCCAACACCAAACAGCCTCTTAGCAGTATATGCTTATTTTATAATTTTGTGTGCTTTTTAGGGTTTTACTGTTGCTTTACTTCTTTAATATCTATTTTTAAACAATAATTATTGCTTATCTGACAACTATTTAAAATAAATTTTGTAATCTTTGTGATCAATTCTTTGTCATCTTACATTAAAGCTTCAATCACAGAGACTTTGCTGAGCAAAGGAAAAGAAATTAATGTGCCCCTGTGTTCCTACATACTGATCTCTCTCCTCTCTCTCTGTGTCTCTGTCTCTGTCTCTGTCTCTCTCTGTCTCTCTCTCTCTCTCTCTCTCTCTCTCTCTCTCTCTCACACACACACACACACACACACACGAGTTTGGTAGACAGTAGCACATAGAAAATAAGTAAGCAAAAATTATTTTATTTTTCTTGTGCTCAGGGTGGTAATGATCACTTGAATTCCCAATAAACAAGAAATTCTTTCTATTGTTATAGGAAGAATCTGTTATATCATAGTATTGACAATAACTTGAGAGCACTTTATATCTAACAGTGAAGTGAGGACTCTTTAACACATACATAATAGAAACCACAAAGGCTAGGTTTTTAGTGTCATTTAAGTATTTATTAAAGCCAGCTATATCTCCTTTTGCTGCTTTCAGGAATCGTATTCTCAAAGTCTGGTGGCATGTACACCACCTTCTCCAGATGGGAGCTGTTGCTTTATCTCTGTGCAAGCTTAGGAAGCTACATATCCAGTTGTGCTGTCCTTGCACATGTTTGTATCTTATATTATTCCCAATCATACACAAAGACCATGTAACAGTGTGCCATCAACCTCAACATCTAAGAGCTCAATGTAGAGAAAATAGTATATGGGTTATGGTACATAAGGCAGCTAATATAATTTTAGTAGATATTCAGATACAATGTGAAGAACTTTATAAATCTAAAGGAATGTTGATTTTATGAGCTTAATGAAGAAAGAAACTCTTTAAGAATGACAACAGGGGCTGGAGAGATGGCTCAATGGTTAAGAACAGACTGCTCTTGCAGAGACCCAGGTTTGGTTCCCAGCACCCACATGGTAGCTAACACCCATTCATAACTCCAGTTCCAGGGGATCCAATGCCCTTTTCTGACCTCCACAGGCTTTACAGGACCCAGGTGCACTTATATACATGCAGGCAATATACTCAGACACATAAAAATAACAAAATATCTTTAAAAGTTCTGCCACCCTCATGCTCTTCATCCGAAAAGTGGTAAAATATTTTTATATCCATAGGATTTTAATGAAAGTGGAATGATGTGATGTATGCCCATTATATAATGGGAGCATTTATAAAGGATAGCTAATATTGTTATTCTTCAACCCATAGGAGTTGATTCTCTGGTGCCGGTAAACAAGTGGATGTTCACTCCATAATAATAGAGAATCCTGATGAAGTATCTCAGATGAAGGACATTTTCCAAATGTTATGACCCAGTGATCTCATTGGAGGTCATAACTAGGTAGTAGTGAGAGCTAATGCCTTGGATTCAAGTGAATGAAGCTGAGAGGGCAGTCATCATGGCCACTGAGGTTCGCATGATGTACTGACTTTATGATTCCTCACATCTCCAGAAATTCGTCAGATGTGATTTGGCAATACGTGCCTTCTGGAGCTCTCTTATTTTATATCTTTTATTGTTTTTCAGATTTCTTCCTTTCATCCACCATTTTCCCTCACTTGGTACAGTTAACACGTTAGCTGTTCACCTTGACTTCCCCCATAGATCGTTCTATCTCATTGGAAGACTATGGGTTTTGTAACCACAGGAAGATCCTAGCACACAGTAGGGTCTGCCTGATGACAGAGAAGTGCTG